TTACTCAAAGATGAGCATAGTAAACAATAATGATGTTGCTTCGTGTGTTGAATTATATTTGTGTCATAAAACATGACGTTGTTAAGGTATCTTTGTGATTTGTAATATTTTATCATTTCTCTGTATGTAATTTAATGTTCTGTTTTATACCATGTTTTATGAGAGAAATATATCATGTATAATTTAGTTTTATTGTGATTAATTATTTCATTTATGCCAATTGGAAAATGATGAAGTGGAGGCAAAGAGATATTTTGTGTGCTTTTAATATATGCTAACATTTTTGTGCTACAGATAGGATAATCCAATCCCCCCAATCCCTCCCCCCTCTCCAAAAAAAACGTGTCAGTGAGAGTCAAAGCTAGAGCTAGGGTCTTAGTGACCGTCTGTAAACCATTGTCCAGAAGACATGTATACGAAAAGTTTTAAATAAGGAGTGTCAAGGTTAGCAAATGTTAACTGTTTACACGACGACTTAACAACCGTGTTAACGTTCAACCGACTCCACTAAAAGAAATCTTAGACTTTAAGAATCATAATTTTTATTGATAAGGTAACACATTTTGTATGTATATTTTGATTACAAAATATATCCCATTATGGATAAATTGATCTTCTTTAGGATATAAGAATGCAAAAAGAAAAAAGTTGAAATAAAAAAAAAACGTCATATCTTATCATAAAGAAACAAATGTAATGTTCAAATACCAATCTAAACTTTCTTCAGCTATTGGTCTAATAACCTGTATTACTAATTATTATCCCCCGCCGAAAAGGCGGCGGGGGATATAGAAATAGTCTCCGTCCGTCCGACCGTCCGTCCGTCCGACATTTTTGTCCGGAGCATATCTCTAAAAGTATTTGAGTTATCAACTTGAAACTTCATAGGTGGATAGACCTCATTGAGGAGGAGTGCAGTGCACAAGAATGATAACTCTACCCTGCATAATTTTTGAGTTATTGTCCTTTGTTATTTTTCAAAATTGAATTTTGTCAAGAGCATAACTCCAAAAGCCTATGAGATATCAACATGAAACTTCATAGGTGCATTTATCTCACTCAGGAGGTGTGCAGTACAAGAATGATAACTCTACCTTTCATAATTTTTGAGTTTTTGCCCTTTGTTCTTTTCCATGCTATTTTGTCCAGAGCTTATCTCAAAAAGTATTTGAGGTATCAACTTGAAACTTCATAGGTGGATGAATATCATTGAGGAAGAGTGCAGTGCAGAAGAACGATAACTCTACCCTGCATAACTGTTTAGTTATTGCCCTTTTTTATTTTTCAAAATTAATTTTTGTCCAGAGCATAACTCAAAAGGCCTTTGAGATATCATTATGAAACTTCATAGGTGCATAGATCTCACTCAGAAGGTGTGCAGTGCACAAGAATGATAACTCTACCTTTTATATTTTTTGAGTTATTGCCCTTTGTTATTTTTCATACTTAATTTTTCAATTCAATTTTTTTCTCAAAAAGTATTTAAGGTATCAACTTGAAACTTCACAGGTGGATAGATTTTACTAAGGAGGGATGCAGCACACAAGAATGATAACATACCCTGCATTATTTTTCAGTTATTGCCCTTTGTTATTTTCAGCCATCAGTATTCACATAGGTTTCAAATCTGTAATCACTATAGCCATCAGTTTTCATAATTACCAAAAGACCTCTTAAAATGGAATTATTCTGCTCTACTACATAAACATTCTTCCAATGAGCAAACACATTCGGCGGGGGATGGCCATGTTGACATGGCTCTTGTTAAATTTTCTAACCGGTCTAAAACCCGACCAACTCAATTTAAACCAATGAACGTGTGTCAATGGATGAACAGACAACAGCAGATAATACGATGAAAACAAAAACAGTAAAAATAAACAAATTTCTATTTGCAAAAGAGATGAAAATATCTACAAATGGAAAAATGAAAATAAAGTGAATTAAATAGATTAAAGTAAGTCCTATACTTTAAGGAAAGTCCTACACTTTAAAGTACGTTATTATACTTTGCTCTCATAGTACACATATAGAAACACGTTGAAATGACAAACTTATGAAAAGAAACCTATCTCAAATTCCGTATTAGTATTGTAACCTCCATGCTGTCTCCTATGTTAAGTGTTGGCCATTCTGACATCAGAATGAACCAAAAGTCACAAGAAGAATACAAAAAGAGGATGTTTGCACGGTACAGACTGAGCAATAAATCCTTAACTTTAGTTGCTCTGGGTAACGTCAAGAGCGTAGCTCCTACCTTCTGGGGTATACGAGTCCTTATACCGAGCATTAACTTCCGGTTATCAAATGTTCCTAGCTGTCTTTGCCTTATCGTGTCGGGCTCGTTCACTAGCATCGCTGGTTATCGTCATGTAGCCGTCCTTGCCGTATCGTGTCGGGGTCGTACACTAGCATCGCTGGTTATCGTCATGTAGACGTCCTTGCCTATCGTGTCGGGGTCGTACACTAGTATCGCTGGTTATTGTCATGTAGCCGTCCTTGCCTATCGTGTCGGGGTCGTACACTAGCATCGCTGGTTATCGTCATGTAGCTGTCCTTGCCTATCGTGTCGGGGTCGTACACTAGCATCGCTGGTTATCGTCATGTAGCCGTTCTTGCCTATCGTGTCGGGGTCGTACACTAGCATCGCTGGTTATCGTCATGTAGCTGTCCTTGCCGTATCGTGTCGGGGTCGTACACTAGCATCGCTGGTTATTGTCATGTAGCCGTCCTTGCCTATCGTGTCGGGGTCGTACACTAGCATCGCTGGTTATTGTCATGTAGCCGTCCTTGCCTATCGTGTCGGGGTCGTACACTAGCATCGCTGGTTATTGTCATGTAGCCGTCCTTGCCTATCGTGTCGGGGTCGTACACTAGCATCGCTGGTTATTGTCATGTAGCTGTCCTTGCCGTATCGTGTCGGGGTCGTACACAAGCATCGCTGGTTATTGTCATGTAGCTGTCCTTGCCGTATCGTGTCGGGGTCGTACACTAGTATCGCTGGTTATCGCCATGTAGCTGTCCTTGCCTATCGTGTCGGGGTCGTACACTAGCATCGCTTGTTATCGTCATGTAGCTGTCCTTGCCTATCGTGTCGGGGTAGTACACTAGCATCGCTGGTTATCGTAATGTAGCCGTCCTTGCATATCGTGTCGTGTCGGGGTAGTACACTAGTATCGCTGGTTATCGTCATGTAGCCGTCCTTGCCTATCGTGTCGGGGTAGTACACTAGCATCGCTGGTTATTGTCATGTAGCCGTTCTTGCCTATCGTGTCGGGGTCCTACACAACAGACTTCCAGCTGTCATTATCATTGACTTAGCCGTGACATCCATCCCGGGGTTGAATGCTACAAAAAAATAGGCATCAAAAATGTTCCCCGTGATACACAATTACTCCGCAGGCTCCTATAGTAAACGTTTTAAATAAATAAGGTGTCACGGTAGTCACTGCTTGTCATCGAATTTCTCACTGCAGTTAATTCTTACTATTACACATGTAATATAACAAGTTCTCAATGATATTGAAATGTATTAATGATACATGAAAATTGTTTCATTAATTGATTAACTTGATATAAATAATGTCACAATTGAATAATTATAACAAGTATCTTACAGCTAGAACAATCTTACAATAAAATTTATAAATGAACACCGCATACATGAATATCAAGATGTATGACATACAAAGACAATAACGACGTTCCATATTTTAATGATACACCGTATAGAACCCTGACAATGTATAACAAGTGTATGCATATACAATTCAAAAGTATTGTCATATAAAAATAGACTAGATTATTTTCCTTCAGTTAATATTTGAAAAGCAAAGCAATTTACGGCAATCTGTAATGATTAAGCTGGAATCATCTGCACTTCCGTAAAAGCAAATACAAAAATTTAAAACCCCTGAAAATAAAATCGTATGAAAATACGAAAGCAAAAATTTAAAACTGCAAAAAATTGCCAAAATCAAATCAAAATATATTAACTGAAAAATAAAACTAACGTCGCATACCTAGATCTAGCGAAATTCACTTACATCTAAGTAAATTGTGCAAAGAACTGTCTCTTTTAAGGTCACCTGACTCAAAGTTGAACATTTGGGATGGCACGTTCTCTGCCATTTGTCATTATCCTCAATTTCATTGAATAGCTTCTACTTCTAAACCAAATGCTGGATTTGAACAAATGTTACAGTAATGCTTCTTAAGTGGCCCTGTACAAAAATCATACCTTATGTTCGCAGTCTGACGCATATGTACATTGCGGATAAAAAAATTAGCAATAACAGTACAATTAATAAAAAAAAACTTAAATGGGATCTTAAACTATTTTCTGCTGACACAGTATACTATTTTATCACTTAAATAAATTCAGTATACAAAGACACTTATATCTATCTTAATCTATTTACATGTATATTACAATGACATCAATAATAAATTGTCATTCTTACATCCAATTGTGTAATTCTACTATTTTCAGATGCTTGCAAATATTTACATTTTCCATTTAGGCATGACTGAATTTATTTAATATTGAAATCATGTTAAACAACAAATATTTACACATATATTTTGATGTTTAGCAGTACTGTTCCTTTACATATATATGTCTCTCTTTTATCACAATTTATAATTTTGTTATTTCCATTTTACAAATGACTGAATTTCATTAAGTTTTAAGTTTCTTTTTATCTTTATAATTAGAAATATTTTACATATATAGACGTTTACAATGTAATGTTAAGCAGTACTGTTCCTTTACATTTATATGTCTCTCTTTTATCACAATTTATAATTTTGTTATTTCCATTTTACAAATGACTGAATTTCAACAAGTTATAAGTTTCTTTTTATCTTTATAATTAGAAATATTTTACATATATAGACGTTTACAATGTAATGTTAAGCAGGACAGTTCCTTTACTTTTATATGTCACTCTTCCATCATAATTTACACTTTAGTTATGTCCACCTCTTTGTGGTACATTCTATGCCCTGAAATTTCCCATTACAGATAGAAGTGTGCAGATATGAATCTTTGCAGCATTGTTTCTCATCCTTAGATTAAAAGACATCAAATAATACTGTAGAGCATCCCTTACTCTGCCTTCTTGTTCCATACACTTTCCGAGAATATTGAAAGCTGTTTCCCGGTGTGCAAGGTTTGGTTCGGTTATTATGGTTCTGAGAAGTTTTGAGAGAGCAGATTGTTTTTCATTATTTTTCCCAAGACGGCTGTTAACCTTGTATTGTAGAAAGTAGAGGTAAGGGAGAGAATCCACCACAGAATTATCCATCCATATGTTGTCTTCTTCTGTACGGAATGTTCTATCCTCCTGTGTAGATCTTATCATTTCATACCGGAGTTCAGTGGGTACACAGTGAATTTCACATGGAAGAAATTCGACACATGATGCTGTGGCATACTGTAAGACATCTTCATTTGCATTGTCACATGTTGCAAAGAATCCTTGTTTTAGTTGTTTATTTTTAAATTTATAACAACTACAGACTGGTTCAACAATTTGCAGATCATAGCTTCTTTCAATCTCACTGAGAACCAGGTCAGCTTTTTGTATTTCTTGTACACAGTATAAGATTGAAGCTAATTTCAGTTTACTTGATGCAACATCTGTATTCAGACCAAGTGAGATGAGTTTGAGGGCATCAGCTGATACAGTGTTGTGCTGATTGATGTTGATGGAGGCCAGCACAGATCCAAGTGTTGTACAGTACATTGGCAACAGAAGTTGACAGGCTCTCTCAACCAATCCTTCACATTGATCATTTAATATCTTAGATAAACAGTTTGTCAATGTCTGTACAGCTTCATTATTAAAAGCGGAACATATAAACTTTGAGCTTGAAATCACACAAGCTGTATCATGTAACAGAAATCCTGAAACGTGTTCTCTTGTCTTAAATGGACATAAGTTATAAAACTTTAGATGAAGCCTGGAACCAAGACCATCACATTCAATACCAAGAAGTGCCACTCCTGCACTGTTTATTATGTTGTTGAGTATTTCCAGAATATATGGTTTGTCTACAGGTGATATCTTACCTCTCATCAAATTGTTCTCAGGTATGATAAAATGTGGGCAGTTTTCATTAATGATATTGTCGTACAGGAGATATAAACACAGTGATAGACAAGAAAGTAAATTGTTTTCTCTCCAGATGTTAAAATGTGAATTGGCAATACAGTGGAAGAGTACAGTTTTACACATGTAACTTGAAATTACATCCTCAAACTGTGGATCAAGGAATGATTTTATAACCATTTTCATCAAGACATAACAGCGTATCTGTGTTATATTCAGGTTTAACATTAAACACCTTTCAGCTAAAGATGTCGATATTCTCCATTCAAGTTGCTCATGTTCACTGCCTCTACATCCAACTGGAACAACTAAGCATCCAGTTCTGCTGCAATATTGTTTTATTTCAGCAGACGGCCACTGAGAATCACCTTGTTGATCCAACCATTGTCTAGCTTGTTGCGGCCATGTATTACAGTGCATAGCTAGCACATGGTCTCTATCACAGTTACCATGTGATCCTTGGTCTACTCTTGCTGGCCCATGGAATTTTGATTTGTCTACATATCCATTAAGTAGTATTGAATGTTTTAGTAGTAATTTTCCTGTTCTGTCTCTGACAAAGTCTTGATTAGATACTCCATCAAGAGGAAGAGGAGCATCACGTCGTAGCATTTGAAGTAAACAATATCCAGGAGATACAGAATTATCTTGAATCATCAAAAGATTATGTACACAAGGTATCCATTCAGACCAGTCTTGCATTACATTAAAATTATTTAAACAATAAAGGTGATCTGTGTCTGACCCCATCTTCAGGGTAGTTGTACGTTCTAATTGACTCCCGAAAAAGTATAGTATGAAAGAATTCTCATTCCATAATTGGTTATTCACATTGAGAATTGCTTCTCTCAGAAGCCATGCTCTTCTCCTCTTCAGCACCATTCTCTCATCAACACCTATATCAGCTAGTACTTCAGATAATCTCATTGACACAGTCTGGGTGTAATTTGGTTCTTGATACATTCTGTAAATTAAATTTATAACATATTAATTTATTAAATTTATTTTTATTGATTTTATTTGGTCAGATGATATTTGTTAATTGTAAATGTATTCAAAACAATTTTGCTTTTTTAAACAAACTTTCCAGTGTAGAATAATTTAGAAGTATTTTTCGTCAATAGTAAATTACTGTATAATTTATGAATGTGGCTTTTGTTTATGATTCTTTAAGCAGTATGTCAACTCTTTATGAAATGAAACTGATCATTAATCTTTACTGTCATTCTCTGCGCACTCCCCAATGATATAAAATAATTCAATTCAATTTTAAGTAGTTGGATATTAAACGCAATTATTATCAATAGTTTAAATCAACTTATTCCTCAAATTACAATACCCCTTTCAAATATATTAAATCCCGTTTATTGTAATGCATTTTTAATATTATAATCTGACTTTAATAACAATTAGCGTATCCACTTCGTAAATTTCTGCGCACTCCCTGGTGTTATATGATTAAAGATACAATACACACCATAGCGTAAACATTTAGATATTATATTACTGATTTGTGGCACAAAAACGATCGAATATTACTCTTTTCTTCATTTATTTATATGAAAATCAAGCTTATGTAGCATCGAATTTATCTACTTGAATCAAGTCATAACCAAATTTTAAATCAACACTTTTAATTATCATGCAATAAAACGGGAAAAAAAACTGGAAATTATTGACGACAATATTTCTACTGAGATTAGAAAATAAATTAATCATTCATGCTATAAATCTATCAAATTTAGATTCTTTTAGACGATGTAAATCGTTATTTATTTCGTATTTTGGTATAAATTAGTATTATAATTTTTACCGCATTGTAATATATTCAAAAGTGATATACTGTGAAAGAAACAATATTTAATATTAAAATGTTACCAAAATCAAAATTCATTCTTCAAATTAGTCATAATTAAAACGTTTATGTAATTGCTAAAATGTTGCTTAAACGTATAGTAGTTCACTATTATCATTTATACCTTATTAGAATCTATTTAAGAGGGATATCACTATTCTGTATAACAAACAACATTTGATAACAAATTTGACCAAAATTTCATCCATATTTATTCTTCTTATTAATATATAACTCATTTAATGTATTCAAATTTGACATAATTATTACGGGTTTTCGCGACGGACGCGCCCTCAGGCGCATTCATAGCTATGTCATCTACACATGATATTTCGTCGGCTACAATCGCGTAAGTATCCGCAACCGAATATCAACCCAAGAAAAAGTACATGAATTTGATCCTATGAAACTCCCATACTTTGTAGGGATATCTTAAAAACTTCCATATTTATAATAATAATAATAATAATAATAATAATAATAATAATAACTTTATTTACCGAAGGTAACACATTAAGACATATACAGATTGCAACATCTTATTTACAATGCGGCCTTCTAAAATAAAAATAAAAACACACACACAAAAGAACACATATCAATCAAAGAAAATATAACATGTAAAAAGAAATGATTAAATGGTTATCACAATTTTAACATATATTAACACATATACTGAACATTCATACAATTCATTTTATTTAAGAAATAATATATCCCGAACTGTGATTTTATTGCTCAATAACATCACTGTTTTGAGTTCGGATGCGGGGAATTATATCACGAGGGTGTAGTTTGTATTTTGTATATTTGGCATATATATTTTTTGTTTTCTTTTCCTCATATATTACAACAATAATCAAAAATAGGAAGAATGTATGCATTATAAAAAAGCATGCGAGATTCCTTATTTAAACTACTAAAGTACTTTATAAGCCTAAATAAATTAACTTTAGAGTTCAATTTTTTACACACATCATTTACCTGACAGTGCCAATTGAGTGTATTTTCAACATAAATACCAAGCAGTTTTTGTGATTCTACATTGTCAAGAGTTGAGTCGTTAATTTTCAAATTTAATGCTTTTGCAATCTTTAGCTTTTGTCTACTACCTACCAGCATACTTTTAGATTTTTTAGGGTGTAAAAGCATATTATTTATTTTACACCACTTAGTAATCATATTAAGGCTATATTGTAGTTTTTCTTCTATAACTGATATGTCATCTCCAGATTTATGCAACGTGGAATCATCAGCATATAAATCTATGTTAACATCCTCGCAAATATTTGGGAGATCATTTATATAAAGAAGAAACAGTAAAGGACCTAATATTGAGCCTTGTGGAATGCCAGAGGTAACATATTGTACGTCAGATTTTAAGTCTCCAATTTGAATTATTTGCATACGATTAGACAGATACGAATGAAACAGTTTTAATGATGTGACAGAAAAGTGATAAAGTTTGAGTTTATATAAAGTATTTCATGGTCAACTAAATCAAACGCCTTTTGCAGGTCTAAAAATACTGTACCTATATATTTGCCACTATTCAACATCTTTTAGCCAGGAGTCTATCAAATGAATTAGGGCCGTATTGCATGAATGATTCTTTCGAAATCCGGATTGTTTATTATGTAAAATATTTTTTTTTTTGGAAAAAAATGCTGTAACTGATTAGCTATGTGACGTTCAAAAATCTTAGATATTGTAGGCAAGATAGAAATAGGTCGATAGTTGCTTCGGATCATCTTTCAGTCCAGATTTGAAAATTGGAATAACTCGGGCATTTTTTAATTCATCGGAAATATTCCTTGTCTTATACTGTTATTAATTATGCTAGCAATCATTGGGGTCACAAAGTCACCACACGATTTTATTATTTTTGGACCTAGTTCATCTAGTCCAGTGGCTTTATTTGCATCTAGTTTATCAATAATGTTTTTAACTTAAAACGCAGAAATGCTTTCAATTTTGAATTCTTTCCATTTCAATTTATTATCTAACTTATCCTTCAATATTTTAAATTCGTCGTTAGATAACTGTACTTTTTCGACAATATTAGAAATGTTTACAAAATGTTTGTTCAATTCATTTATAATATTAGCATGATCAGTAAATGTAGTATCGCCAAAAGTGAGCCGTTCGGGAATAAGTACATTTTCCTTTTTACCTAAATTAGTTAAATCATTAATATTTTGCCAAATGTATTTTGGATTTTTTCTTTCATTTATTGCCATTATTGAAGAAATTCTTTTTGCTTTTCTTAATCTCTGAGTTTATTTTATTTCGTAATAATTTATAATTATCGAAATCTCCATTTTTTGTGATATTTATCTCTTAAAAAAATATCATTGCTTTGATTTCATCAGTGAACCATTTAGGCTGTGCATCAAATTTAATTCTCTTTTCTTTTATTGGAGCATGTTTGGTAATAATATCTTTTACTATTGAAAAAAAGGTTTGTAAAGCTAAATTTGGATCAACAATATACTCCACAGATTCTAGAGAAGATCGAGCTAAATCAGTCTGAAAAGATTGTTCATTAAATGTCTTGAATGATCTATATTTCATTGTCTTTATGGAAACCACGTTTAACTCGTGATTTAAACTGTTCTAATGAAACAGACAGGGAAGTGATCACTTATTGATAAATTTGATACAAATATATTACATACATGTGAATGACTATTCACACTGCCATAAATATGATCAATAATTGTTGCACTAGTTTTAGTTGTTCTTGTTGGAGTTTGAATGAATTGCTTAAGACCAAATTTTGATATTAAATTAGACCATTTTTGTATTATTGAACTTGTTTCTGAGTTTATCAGGCATAAAATTAATATTTACATCGCCTAGAATATAATACTCAGAATATTTAGAATCAATTTCATCAAGTTGCTGTTCGTATTCATCAATCCATGATTGACGTACTTTTGGAGGGCGGTATACATAGTTTACTAGAAATGTTTTTGTATTAGGGTAGTTTATCTCTATCCTTTTAAATTTCAAATTAAGTTATCCAAGATAAAATATGAACGTATTTGATTGATAAAAACGTTGTAGCCCCCGTTTTATTATTGCGAAACATATATGTAGTCAAATATAACCGCTTTTGTTTTGAATAGATTAATTCATTTTCTCTATTACAGTTATTTGAAAAGCTGATCATTTCACTTAGTATTTTAAAAAAATTACCTTAAATTAATAAAAAAATACAATGAAGCAAATCAAGTATTATTCTCAGCTAAATGTATTTAAAAAAGAAAAAAACACAATAGGAAAGAATTAACAATCTTATTAAATTCATATCCTAAATGAAGCTCCGCTCATTTCATTATGGAAGCTAAACAGTAATATGATTTTAAGAGCTTGGAGATCGATTACCAGTAGGCTTGAAGATAGCATTCGTGAAATTTGCAAATAAATCATCGGCAGATAACATTTATTGTGTAGTGTAACGCCCAGAATCTGAATAATTCAATATGAATAACTCAACACAATATTAAGTTATAATGTCATAGATATGTTTTTATTTAGTACAAGATATTAGATTCTATAAAATAATTGTTTAATCAATGTCTTAAATAATCTCACTTTCTTTTAAACAAATAAGTAAAGCAATATAAATTAATGTCAACTGCGTATTAAGCATTATCTAACCTGAGTGAGTGCGTATATCTAAAATCAAAAACGACACTGACATCGTAAAATTTGGCTTACTTTATATATAATGATGTAAACTTACGCCTTAATTATTATTAACCTATAATTCATAAATGCAAATTTACGTTTTCGGACAGCTGTTAACAATTATGCTTATTCGCCTATCGGTACAATCCCCGCTTATATAATGACATGAATATCAATTAAAAAAATTAGACATATCTTATTCGCTTATTATTATATCCGCCCCTTAACTTGCGATGTTTCTTTTAATCCTTAGGGCTAATTATCGTCCTACAATTGCTATTTTCGTAAAATTCTGTAAAATGCATAATGGGCGAAGGAAAGACGTTGCATTCCTCGTGTTTACTGACATTTTACTTAATCTTGTATTTAGTGTTTTATTGGATAATTTTCCACAAAATCTTGGGGCCATACA